ATCCCTCCCTCCCATCCAGCTGATTGGATCAGGGTGGTTCCTGACACCAGGGCAGCCAATCAACAGGTGACGCTAATGATTACCCATGGCTGGGCACAAAATGGTGGGAGAGTCTCTAGAGAGGTTGAGTCAGTAAAGGCTGGCAGCTGCCTGAGTGGGAGCAGAAGCCATTAACGCCTGAAAAGCTGAAGCTGTTGGTAAAGCCAGTCAGAAAGAGGAACTGTGATGTGTGTGTGTGTGTGCGCGTGTGTATGGGGGAGTGGCTGACTCAGGCAGGATGGCTACCTGTGGCTCTTATAACAAACAGCTCAGCCTGAAGGGCTTTGCACAAAGGTTCACTGACTTCGTTCCAAGACTTGGTTGGTTGGAAATTCAGGCAGTATCGATCAGGAGATTCTTCTCCCAGTGTGGCACTGGCGGAGGTGTTCGGCTGGTGGATGGGCTGTTCTGAAGGGTCCAAGGTGTCTTCATGGCTTAAGATGAGCAAAAGCAAGGGCCCCAGGGTAGGCTGCAGCCGGGGGCTGCTGAGATTTTGAGGGGAGCAACTGTGGGCATCTGGGGGTGATCATGAGAACATTTCAAGCACCGCACTAACTTGATGCTCCTTTCTCCTGTTTCCCCTTCCTTAGACCTTCTAAGTCTTCCATTTTTACTTAACATTTTTTGTTTACTTTTTCTTAATTATTTTTAAGGTAAGATCTTGTTCTGTAGCCCAGGCTCTCCTCCAATTCCTGATCTAGCTGGTTTAGCTTCCTGGGTGCTGGGGTTACAGGTATGCACCATGATAGCCAGTTAGACTTTTTTTGGGGGGGGGTCTGGTCATGGGGCTTGAACTCTGGGCCTGGGCGCTGTCCCTCAGCTCTTCAGCTCAAGGCTAGTGCTCTATCACTTGAGCCACAGCGCCACTTCCGGCTTTTTTTTTCTTTATGTGGTGCTGAGGAATCGAACCCAGGGCCTCAGGCATGCAAGGCAAGCGCTCTACCACTGAGCCACCTTCCCAGCAGATGTTTTTGTTTTTTAAGATGTCTTCCCTGCAGCTCCCAATCCTCTTTGATAGCACCAATTTTCTTTCAGAGCCTGAGTTACATCCATAGAGTTCGCAGAATGTCCACCTCTCCCATGAAACAGATTCCATGAAGGCAGTAAGTGGTCAGTACTTTGTGGAGTGAACAAATGTGTAAGGACAGACCGAGACACCGTCTCAGAGGACCCCTGGGGCTCAGGTGGCAAGGAGAAGAGAGGCTGTCCTGGGAGGCTGCAGGAGTCTTCCAGCCTCTTCCCTCCCCGAGCCCAGTCTGCCCCCTCCCACCCTCCGCCTGCCCCCCACCTGGCCACACACACAGCCGGAGCCCGGGCGCTAGAACACTGCAGCTTTATTGATTGAAACAACCGCGTCCGCAACTAGAGGTTACATTGGGGGCTCGGGAATGGGGCCGTGGGGAACAGAGGCTGGGTGGAGACGGAGAGCAAGGCAAAAGGGTGAGAATAGGGTCATGTGACTAAAATCACAACCCCCCAATGTGTCTCACCCGTGAGTGGGGGGTCTCCTGTTGTGCTTTTACCTTGGTGGTAGGATAGGGGTCAGACACGCAGGCCTGAGCAAGAGGGGTTCTGGCTTTTCTCCCAAGTCGTTGAGGCCCAGGGCTGGTTTCCTCCTGCCTGTCCTTCAGGGTTGGGGATAAGGACTTGGTGAGCCGGCTGTCCTGGGGCAAGGGGCTCCCCCACAGCGTTGGGCTGAGATGGACTGATGTGGGGGACAGCAGGGGAGGGCAGGGTGGGAAGGAGGCCCCGGGCAATGAGGGCAGGCCACAGGAGGGGGGAGGGCCAGCGAGGAGGGGGGTGAACAGGTGCCATCTCTCTGGGGCACTGGTTAGACCTCTGCATCTGTTTCTAAAAGTCAAGGAATTCCCCAGGAAAGAACCATCTTCCCACCCAACACACTCATACACATGCACACACACATACCACTGTGCATGTACCACACACAAGCATAGCTCACACACGTGCACACGACGCACCCAGCACGAACTCAGAGATGCCTCCCCGCCTTTGAGAGAATCCAGCCTCAACCAGCAGCCTGTGGTGACTTTCAGAGCAGTTTTGTCCATCCCATCCCCCAGGACGGACAGACAGACAGACAGATGGTAGAGTCAGACCTCCTCAGCTCTCTGGTCCTTAGGAGGCCAGCAGGCTGAGGACATGCAGACATGCTGACCTCCCTCCCTAGCCCAGGCCCTTGAGAAGACAGAGGGGAGGGGGTTGTTAGGAGTCTCAGCCAGGGTGGGTGACGTTGGCAGTAGCCCTGTGGCCGGGCCTTCCAGGGGGTGGGAGCAGAGGCCATTCAAAACCAACATTAGGGCTGCACTGGAGACCACGCCCACCTGACAGCCAGGCACAGGGGAAAGGAGGATGATGGGAAAGGGGCGGGCCCATCACCGAGAGCAAGGGTGGAGGAGCGGCCCAGGAGGAGGAGGCTCCCTACTCAGATGGGGGAGGATAGGAGGATGTCTGACTCCAGGCGCTGGAAAGCCAAGCGTGTGGTCTCAGGGTTCCCTTGCTGCCCTGCCTCCCCCCACACAGGGTAGAAGGGTCCCAGCACCCTGAGGGCCAACTCCACAGACCCTGTTTTAAGGCCACAATATGCCTCAATCACCCTGACCCAGAGGGTGAGGCTGCCACTGGGGAGAGACACTGGATCCAGCCAGCCTGGTCTCCCCAGGGCTGGGGGTATTCGTGGGCCACCCAGCCTGGTACGTCAACACGGGCACACAAGTCATCTGGGGATGCATAAAAACACCCACAAATATACACACACAGACTCACAGACGGGCACCGCCTGTAGGCACTCACAGCCCCTACACGCCTGCACACAGACACATACCCCAGCAGCTCAGCCCCTCTGCACACAAGCCTGGTGATCCCAGGCCAAGCTTTGTGAAGTAGGGCTGCTCTGGCATGCAGTCACCCCCTCTCCGCACACACTGGAACCCAGGGGCATCACGCCTCACACACAGCCGTTTCTGTGCCCAGGTCTATGGACAGAGTCAGATAACGCAGACGAACACAGGCCGCAGCTCAGCCAGGACGGGGAAGGATTATCTAGCGGGTCCCACGGAGTGGTTTCCATACTAGGCTGGCATGGGCGAGAGGAGGGAGAGGAGTCGGGGCTCAGAGGAGGAGCTCACAGTCTAGTTGGGACAACAAGCGTACAGATGGGGTCATTAGGAAACAGTGCCTGGCAGACGCGATGGAACCTGGAATAACTCACCATCCCACCGAGGCCTTGGGTGGGCCAGGAAGACAGCCATGCTGGTTGGGTACCGAGAAAGCTCTGCTGCAGCCTGGCCTGGCCACGCATAAGCCGTTGGTGATGATGACAGCACAGGCCTGGCAGAGCGAAGACAAGGCTGTGCGCGCCTCGGTTCTCCACCTGCCTCCTGGCACTGCAGCGCTGGCCTGGGCTCCAGGCCTCTTCCATGCAGCTGTCCCCACAAATGCTCTGGGAGGAGCCCCAGGACACCCCACCTAAGGTGCTTTGCCTTCAGCAGGGTCATCTATAAGCGCTCTGGGGTCCATAGGGAGTAAAGGGTGGGCGCTAGGCTCGGGGCAGGTGGCTGGGGGCTAGACTGGGGTAGGAAGTAGTCTGGCCAGTACCCCACCAGAGAAGATGGATGCGCATACTGACATACACACGCCCCTATGGAGATGGGGTACAGACTCGGCCTTAGACAGATCCATGAAGCACACATTCATCGCTTCATACACATACATCGCTGGCACATACACACCCATGCCACCTACACACACACACACACACACACACACATGAAGACTCACCCTGGGAGGGGCTGGGGCTCCTCTCTTGTACAGACTGCTGGGTGGGGGCTGGGAGGGGGATGCTAAGGAGTGATCTAGAGTCCATCCTGTCCATCTCAGGCTCTGATCCAGGCCCAAGGGCCAGGAAGCCCCTTCACAGGAACAAAGAAACTGGCAACCACTCCGTCCATCACCCAGCCCCGCCCAGGCTTTGGGGGGGCCCACTCCTCCTCCGGGTGTTCTGCCCTCCCCAACCACACTCTGTCCACAGCACCCCATCAGGCCAAACATGTAGGAAATGGAGGCCCCATTCCATCCACCTGGAAGCAGCAGGATTTCTCCTCTGCCCCTCTCAAAGTGAAGCCTCCCCTCTGCCTTCCCAGGTCCTCTGAATCCCCGCTGAGGGCAGAGGTGGGTGTTGGGGTGGGAGGGGCTGCGGCCTTGGGAACCCAGTGGCTGGTGCTGGGGGGTGGAGAGGGGAGGGGTCAGGAGCTCCAGATGTCCAGGCCCAAGACCTCCTGTTCAGTCCCCTCCAAGGGAGCACAGTGAGGAGGGACTATGATGTTCCAGAAACAGAGTAGAAGGATCTCCCTCTCCCCTTCCCCCCATTCTGGAGCAGTCCAGTGCAGCAGGTCCCCCTTCCTTGTTGTCCCCCTCTGGATGGGGACCACCACAGAGCTCAAAAAGTCACCCTCGGCTCTCCTCTGTGCTAGGAGTCCCAGAGTCTGACCGGGAAGGGGCTCCTGTGTCTGCCCACTTCCGGTTCCCTTCAGGCAAAGCCGTGGGGCTGGCATTCGGCTTGAGCTAGGAGACCCGGGAGGGTCGGAAACACGAGGCTCACGTCACGTGAAGGTCCCTGGGGACGCCGGTCAGGCGAGTCCCCTGTCTCCGCAGTAAAGAAGGTGCTGGCAGGGCGGATAGAAACTTGTGCTTTAATATATTCTCTGTGTGGTGAGTGTGTGGGTGTGTGTGCGTGTGTGGAACAACCGTGTCCAGGCCTCGTGCCGGCTGGCCTCTGTCTTTGTCCGTGGCTCACCCCCACAGCGGAGCGGAGCCCCTCCTCCCCGGCGGGCCGGCCCTGCCCTGCCCCTGGGCACCCCTGCTGGCGGGAGGTCAGTCTTTGGTAAGATGTGGACACTTTGGTGTGCCGGGGACGGGGTGGTGGGGGGGCCAAGCAGCTCTCATCATCTCTGCAGCGCCAAGAGGAAGATAGCCACGGGCCCCCAGAACCGCGAGCAGGACTGGCAGGGCGCTCGGCTGCCCGGCATCACCACCACTGCCGTGAGAGAGAGAGAGAGAGAGAGAGAGAGAGGGGAGAGGAGAGGCAGGCGGGTTGGCTGGGGAGGGGGAGGCCCGAAGGGTCGGGTTGTTCAGTGCTCATAGACGTGAGGTGGTGTGGGGTGAGGGTTTATTCAGCCTGCACACAGAGGTGAACTGGCCTCAGTTTCCTTATCTGTAAAATGGGTCCAATAGCATGAGATACCCCAGAGGGCCCTGGTGAGGACTGGGTGAAACAGCAAAGTGGGGTTTTTAGAGGATGTGTGGGGACCCCTGGCCTCCCACGCCTGAAGGCATAGGGACCCAAGAAAGGGGCTCAGCCCCAGCCACAGAGGCTCTGAGACTTGTGAACAGCTGTGCACTCCCAAGGAGGGGGACGGGTGGGGGGAGGCTGTGCTATGCCCCACGTGACACAGGTAGAGCCGTGAGGGCACACATTCACAGACACGCCGTCCCGCCCCAGCACTCCCTCCCCTCACAGCCCCACGCGTGCCTCCCCACCCCCTTCTGCACCCTGGCACCTTTATTGGGGTCCATGGGCTTCCGCGGACACTCTCCTTTCTTCAGAGTGACGTCATCGATGGCAATGTCGCCTAGGTAGCCTGAGCCTCGAACTCCCTCGAAAATAATCTGAGGTGGGGGTCAGAGGGCAGGGGTTGGGGAAGTTCAGCTGCGTCCCTGCCATCCACCTGCAAGCCCTCCATACCCTGCTGGCTTCTCCCCCCCCCCCCCAAGCCGGCAGGGGAGGGTCCAGCCTGGGCTCCCCGCAGGGCGGCCCAGGCGGCCGGCCGAGGACTCACCTGGAATGGCCCGCTGGGGTTGATGGGGACGTGGGCCTGCTGCCACACGTTACCCTTATTGCCGCTGAGCGACCAGGCGTGCGTGTCCAGGGCTCCTTTATTCCGTGACCGCACCAGGAGGTTGAGGGAACCTGTGGTGGTGAGAGGCGCAGGGGTGCTGAGAATCCCACCCCCCCCGCACCCACCCTGGAACTTTCTCCTCATCCTCAGACCCCTTCACCCCTCCATCACCTCGCAACCACAACAGTGGGGAAGAGGGCGGCGGCGGCGGCCTGCAAATGTTCCTTTCTTCCCATCCCTGCTAATTACTAAATCTGTCCCTCAAACACCCACAGCCAGTCCCTGAAGTATGTGTGTTGTGGAGGGGGGTGGGGGGGGATTGTCCAAGGTTATCTTAAAACACACAGCCAGAACAAGGTTCAAGGCACACCCCAATAATATGTGATTTTCTGAGGGGAAAGAAGGAATTCAATGATTTTTTCCCCCTATTTATGTATGTTTTGTGTGCTGAAAAAAGTCAGCCCTTCCAACCCACCCAGGATTTCTCTATAATACTAACATTCAGGACAAAGGGGAAACTTAAAAAAATAGAGAGAGAGAGAGAGAAGGGGAGGGAGGGAAGGAGGGGAGAGAGAGATAATCTAAAGAAAAGATACTAATTAGTCTGCAAGCTATATGGCTGTGATAAAATAATGAGAGAGAGAGAGAGAGAGAGAGAGAGAGAGAGAGAGAGAGAGAAATGCTGAACACTAGCCTGGGGGTACTGAGCCCATCTGCCACAGCCCCCAGGTTCTGCAATTGGAGGACTGGCAGAGGAGGGCTCATGGCTTGGCTAAGCGCACCCAGACAATGCCAGTGCCTCTCCCTGCCCCTTCCAGCTTGCCTCCAGCTCCCCAGTGGCACAAAAGAAAGACCTGGCTCCGAGGGAAAGGAAATCAATCTTAGGTGGTGCCTGGTAGCTGGCATTTCTATGGCACTGCCCACAGACAATGCTGCACCATCTGTGACACCAGATACAGACCCCTCCCCGGCGGGACAGGGCCACCAAATGTTACCTGCCCGGGATGAAAGGAGCTGGCTGGGACAATGAGAGCCAGCCAGACCCAAGGTCGAGGGACAGCTGGTGCCCAAAGCTGCCAGGCAGGGTGGGAAAGAACAAAGGGAAGCCCCCTCCCCCCAGCAGGAACAGCCCCTTCCCAGCGGCACAGCCTGGTCTGGAGAACAGAGCCTCGAAGGCTCAGGCACGTGTGGCCTCACCAGCCAGACACAGCCTTTAAAGGGCTGTGCCGCGTCCAGAACAGCAGCCAAACACCCAGGGTCTCGGAGGTTCCGATTAATCCCACCCCCAGCTTGGTCCCTGCCCCATCCCCCTGGGGTCTGGTGTCAACCCCTTTCCCCCCCTTTATTCCTTCCCCACTAACTCCCCCAGCCCCAAGAGCCCTGAAGGGCAAGCATGATTTTTTTTTGGTACTAAGAAAAAAAAAATCTAGCCTGGCATCAGTGAGTCACACCTGTCATCATCCTAGCTACTCAGGAGGCTGAGATCTGAGGGTCACGGTTCAAAGCCAGCCCAGACAGGAAAGTCTGAGAGACGCTCATCTCCAATGAACCATTGGAAAACTGGAAGTGGTGCTGTCGTTGAAAGTGGTAGAACACTAACCTTGAGCGAAGAAAAAAGAGCTCAAGGATAGCACCCAGGGCATGAGTTCAAGCCTCAAGAGTCCCCCCCAACCCCACCCCCAAAAAAACCCCTAGCCAGGTGTGGTGGCTCACGCCTGTAATCCTAATTACTCAGGAAGCTGAGATCTGAGATCACAGTTCAAAGCCAGCCAAAGCAGGAAAGTCCTTGACTCTAATATCCAATTAATCACACACAAAAAAGCTGACAGTAGGGCTGCAAGTCAAGTGGTGAAGCACCAGCTGTGAGTAAAAAAAAAAAAAAAAAAAACTAAGGGATAATGTTTAGGCTGAGTCCAAGCCTTGGTATTCACACACACTCGTGCGCGTGCGCACGCACACGCGCACGCACACACACACACACACACACACACACACAATTTTCAGCCCCTTTTCAGCCCCTGACAGGTTCTCTGCTCAGGGCTTCCAGGCATCCCCTGACAGACATCAGCCAGAACCCAAGGGGCTTACCTTGCCCTGAGAGTGAGCCTGGATCGCTACTTTGCATCCAATCTCCCTCACTGCCCAGAACCAACCAGGGGTGTGAGCTCACACCTGGTCCATGAAGTCCTCCACTGGCCGGAGATGCCCTCATCCCCACACCAGGATCCCCCACCCCCACCATGATCTCCTGGTCACCTCCTCCTCGGTCACAGCAGTGCCGAAATGCAACCTCCTCCAGGAAGCCTTCCTAGACTCTAGCCAGGGAACCCGTGACGCACCCGGAAGCCACCCGCTCACTGTCCTGCGGGGGTGGGGGCATGGGGCTCCTCAGTTTCCTACATCTGTGAGAGGGGAGATGGGGACCAAAAGCCTATCAGCTCTCACTAATAAAGGTAAGAAGAGGGGTTGGAGGCCTGGTTCAGGTGGTAGAGCGGCAGACAATGGGAGAAAGCAGATACTGAGTGTCAGTACTGAGTTTGAGCTCTGGTTTCAGACAAAAAACCAAAGGGGGAGGGAGGGTAGGAGTCCCAGGAGATTTGCTCTTAAATCTAGTCTGTGGTTGTCTCTGAGATGTGAGGGCCTCTAGTTGGCAGGTCTGGGAAGTGAGGGTTTGTTATTGTTGGTTTGTTTTTAATTAGGACACCCTTTTGAAATTCATCACTTTCTCTACATCTCCAACAGCTCCGCCTCCTGCCTTCACCTCTCTGCGGTCCCCAGGATCATCAAGTGGGGCAGGTTTCCCTGCTACGAGCTGCTCAGAACCTGTCCATCTAGCCATGGCCACAAGCTCCTACCTGATACCCCGTGTAGTCCCATCCGTCTCTGACTCATCCATCTCTTGCACCATATACTGCATTTCTGGCCCAGGGCAGGAGCGCTGGGTTGGAGTACCAGCTCAAGGGTTACAGTGCAGCAGTGCTGCCCGGGCTGGCCTCCCAGAGCTAGTAGTCCCAGAGCTCACGCCCACCCACACGGAGGAAGCGGCACTGGCTCTCAGGGCTCTGAAGGAGGCACTTTGCATGGACAGAGTTGGGCAGACCTAGATTGTTGTACTGTGTGGTCTTGGGCGAATGCTTAACTGCTCTGGGTTGTTATGGATACAGCCTAGAACCTGCCAGGCTCTCAGTAGACACGCGTGCGGAGTTCTCCGCCCCTCCACTGAGTTTTCCCATCCCCTTCCTGCAGGAGCCTCTTTATTCGCAGACTCAGGGAGCCGGGCTCATTCAAAACCCCAGCTGCCTCTCCATTTCTCCCCTTGGCCTATCTGTGGCTCATACCCTATGCAAGGTGCTTCGGCCTGGGGAGGGGGGAGGGCCCTGTTCCCCTCTTCGGGCGGTTGCAGCACCCACTCCCTCGTCCCTACTCACCGATGTGCTTCCCGTACATGTGGTAGAAGAAAGACACGCAGTAGAACTTGGCGCTGGCGTTGTAGAGGGGGCTCACCAGCCGGGCGCGGTCCCCCAGCTCCCGAGGCCGGGAAGTCTCTATGAACATGTAGTAGCCTGCAGGGGACAGGAAGCTGCACCAAGACTCCCCCCACACACCCGCACCCGCCCAGGCCAGCCCGTGACCCCTGCCCAACTCTCAGGGACCTCGCTCCGGCTCCCCAGCTCCTCCCAGGCCAGGGCACCTGACGGCAGGGTTCTCAGTGCAGAATGTCTTCTTCCAGATCCCCAGTCAGAACAGACTCTGCCCCCTCAGATGGGGGCTCCCCCCACCCACCCAGGACAGGTCTTGTCCTACAGCCCAGAACCCTCTAGGACAGGTGGCATTTCCCTCCCTCCTCAGACTGGGGCTCCATGGGCCTAGATTACCCCCACACACACGTGCGCACCCACTGAAGCAATCCCTATTCCTAGCAGCAGCCCTTATCCTCACCCTCCGGGGTTCCACTGATGTCAGTGGGGGGGCCGGTATTGGGGGAGCGCTTGGGGTTCTGGGTGAGGGCATTCTGCCGCGTCCAGTCAAAGTTGTCCGTCAAGTCCTGGGTGTAGCCACAGATCTTCTCGTCCTCAAAGTGGCAGGTGTTATCTGCAGGGAGGGGGACAAGGGGCAGGGTGGCGTAAGCAGGGCTGGCCTGGGCCCCTCTCATCCAACCCAGCCTCCCTCACCACCCCAACGTGGCCCCCAACCAGCTCAGCAGCCAGCCCAGGTTCTCACGGCCCGAGAGAGACAAGGTACCAGGACACGGAGCAGGACTTGCTGGCGCCCCTGCCTCTCCTGACACGAGAGAACCCAGTGCGGAGTTTTAGACACGCCTCTGAGATGCACAGGACTTCAAAGGGAGTCAATGACAATGAATTACAGCTGTCAAAATAGCTTTATGATCTTCTATATAATAACTGGGCTTCTTTACTCTCTAATTAAATCACAAAGTCTCATGGTAGGCCTAGTTACGACCACAGTTCGGAAATAGTGATGGATGCTGGTGTTATTTAGAGATGGCGGCGGCACCTGTAAGGTGACAGGCACACATTGGATTCCGGCCGACGGGAGCAGCCACAGGTACTGAGAATTCTACTGCGCTCTGGCGCCTGTGCTCACTGTGGGATCTGAGAAGCTTCTGCTAGAAGCCAGGGGAAATAAATTAACAGTAATTGCTCTCGAGTTCATATAGATCTTGATTCTCTTTTTCTTTCTTTGTGTGGGTACTGGGGCTGAACTCAGGGCCTGGGTGCTGTCCCTTAGCTTTTTCACCTGAAACTGTCAATCTAAGACTTGAGCCACTTCCAGTTGTTTGCTTTTTTGTTTTGGTAGCTAGAGATGGGAGTCTCATGAACTTTCCTTCCCTGGACTGGTTTTAAACTGCAATCCTCACATCTCAGCCTCCTGAGTAGCTAGGATTATAGTCATTGGCCCCTGACCATCTTGAATTCTATACTCAGATTCGTTAGGGTTCCATGGATCCTTGCTTACCCCTGTCCCCCGCTCCCCAGCCCTGGGAAATGGGGTGTGGATTTGTCTGGCTTCCTTTGTTTTCTCTAGGTGACTGAACACTACTCCCCATCCTCCCACCTCCCACCCCAGAATAAATCCTGGATGCAAAGATCCCCTATCCGGCCCCTGAGGTTGAGGCAGGTCCCCTGGTCCCTCTCTGTGGGGTCACAGGGACAAGTCACTTTCTCTAATCTCTCGAAGTTCCTCCCTCCCACAAGGACAGCCTGTGTCCTTAAGGGAAAGGGAAGCGAGGGGAGCAGAGGTCTTACCCGACAGGCTCGGAGAGTTGATGGCTGGAAAGCAAGCAAGGAAACCAAGTTAGAAGCCAAGTGTGAGCTGTAGCAAGGTCTCCCAGATTTCTACTGGGACATTATAAGAGAGTACACCATGGGGAACCCCAAGTTCAGGAGCAATGTGAGGTGAGTCCTCCTGTACCTCCCCTTCCCTTCTCCTCCTGTCCTGATTACCACTGCCACCAGCACCACCACTGTCACCTACGCTCTGTATAATAGATGGTGCGGGACGCCGTGTCGCCAGCCCCGAAGGTGGTGTAGGGAGTGAGGCGGATCTCATAGCTGTGTGGTACGCGGAGATCCGTCAGGATGAACTCCAGCAGCTGCCCCTTCTCCACACGCCGGACAGGAATGGCCTTGACCATGGCATTGTGCTGGTTCAACTGCAGATACAGAGAGTTCCCAGATGCCTAGCAGGTCGTACCCTCCCCCAGAGAACCAGCCCTGGTGAGACTTGGGGGCGGGGCAGAAAAAGCAAAGGCCTTGGACATGAGGCCCTTGGTTTCCTCATCTATGAGGTGAGCTCATCCCTTCCAGGTCCAAGGGCTATCTCAATAAAAAAACCAGTGACAGGGACATTTACCAGACAACTAGAGTGTCTGGGGGGGGGGGAGGTGCTGTTCTAAGCTCTTGGAGGGTGAACTTGCCAATGCTGAGCAAAAGTCCTCTGAGGGAGAAGATTAAAATTGTCCCCGTTTCACAGAGAAGCAAAAAAGGCCAAAGAGACGTAAGCCTGGCCCAGCTCACACAAGCTGTCCTGTAGACTAGCTACGGTCTCCAGAGCCACTCTTCCCCTCCCCAGGCCGAGAGGCACACAAAGGCTCTGGCCTTGCACTGCAGAGGCCCCAGCCCTGCGTTCTTGACCCAAGAGTGCAATCAGTATTCTCTGACCAGTGCTGGCTGCCCTGGCCAGCTGTCAGGTCTGTACCCAGAGACTGGTCCAGAAGGACTCTGTGGCTAGAGGGTCCCAGCTCCCACTGAGATGTCTAGAACTTCCTCTGCCTCAGAAGAGTTTTCTACGAAAGGATCACTGTGTCTGAGCCTGTCAGGCTCACACTTGCCCCCCTTCTCCCCTTTATGAGCATTTCCAGGATCAGCCACGCAGCTCTCCACTGGCCTGACTCCTCCCCCTGGTCCACCTGGCTCTCCACTGGCCTGACTCCTCCCCCTGGCCCACCTGGCTCTCCACTGGCCTGACTCCTCCCCCTGGCCCACCTGGCGGACACTGAGTCTGTAGTTGAGGACGGGGTCCACAGCGTCCGGCTCCCTCTGTGTCCACTGCAGCACGTAGGAGTAGTTCTTAGACAGCTTGTGGCTGCGGGTGGGGTTGGGGGTGTCGAAGTAAAACTCCGGGCTGTAGGCTTTGGCTGAGAGGGTGGGGAGGGGGGCATGGGGCCGTGGAGGGGGGGGATGGGAGAGACAGAGGGGGAGGCATGGGAGCAGCAGAGAGGGAACACAGGGTATAAAGAGAAAGGGAATTTGGTGAGGAGAGGGATGTTGGGAGTGAGGGGTGGGGAAGAGGGGTGGGGTAGAAGAGAAGATGGAGATGGAGAGGGAGGTTACAAATTCCAAGAGGGGGTATTGGTGAGAACAGAGAAGAAGACAGGGAAGACAAATTGGGGAGGACATAGGGAAGGAAAAATGCAGAAAGAAGGTTGGGAAAGAGGAGAGAGAAAATAGAAGCAAAAAAAAATGGGGGAGACGGGAAGTGTGGGAGAAAGGGGAGAAGGGGAGGAGGTGGGAAATGTCACAGGGGCCTCTGGCTGGCAGGGCTGATGGTGGGAGGGGCAGGGCAGATGGCCAGTGACATGAGGTCCTAGCCCACACTCATGCATGGAAGGGTTAGAACAAGAGTTAAAGGGGCACTCTGTTAGGGGCTGTTCAGAAAGCCAGGTTCAGGGAAATGGGGGGAAAGGCAGGGGGCTCTTCCCAGATGGCCATCCAGATAGCACTGCCTATGTTCCTCTAGGCCTTGACTTCACATCTTTCTGACTCATCCACCTGCAGCCCCAGTCGGCCCTGCCAGAAATGACTTGAGGTGGATGTGAGGCCCAGAGGGATTTCTGGGGGCCAAACAGCCTGCATCCCTAGGGAACAGGAACTGGACGGCCCAACTCCTCACTGTTCTAGGGAAGCTGGTGAAGAGCATCTCTCCCCCTCTAAGCTACATCTCCATGCCTTAAGTCCCCTTTCTCCATCTGCAGCCTCTGGGATTAAGGATGTAAAAAGCTGCAGACTGAGATCTAACTGCCTAGGGTGGAGGGTAGGCAAAGCTGGAGGATCAGGAGCAGAGTGGGGATTGGTCAGGACTACAGGGGGTGGAGCCTATGCCTTATGTGGGCGGGGCCAACACACAAGGTTGCCTAGCCTTTAAAGGCTGGGCTTAAGGGGGCGTGGCTGCTAGAGGCCCTGGAAAGGGAGTAGGCTGCGGTGGGCGGGGCTTGGGCGAGCAGGGGCGTGGCTGTTAGAGGCCTCAAAGGGACTGAGCTGCGGTGGGCGTGGCTTAGGACAGGTATCTGAAGGCCTAGGAAGGGAAAGGTGGCCACATCTGGGGAGTCAAAGGTGGGATCTGGGCGGCACAGGGTGGAGCCGGGCGGGCGGGCCCAGCAGCCCGGGGTTGAGGCAGAGCTGGCCCCGGGTGGGCGCGGGTGGGTGGGCAGGTGGGGCGGGACCGACACAATGCTCACCGGAGACCTGGAAGAGGCAGGTGGCCGAGCCCACGTCGTTGGAGAGGCTGCACTCGTAGCTGCCGCTGCTGTCGCGGGTGAGGGCGTCGAGGCGCAGCTCGGCGTGGTCCGCGGCCTCGGTGGCGGCGGGGACGACGGGCGGGGGCGGCAGCAGCTGCCCTTTGAAGCGCCAGGCGACCGAGGCGATGCGCTGCGGGCTGCCCCGCAGCAGCGAGCAGCGCAGGAGCACGGGCCGGCCCAGCGCCTGCCGCACGTCCTGGGAGCTGGGCTCCACCTCGGGCGGGACTGGGGGGCGGGGGGGGAGGGGGTCAGCGACCCGCCGCGAGGGGCTCGCGCACACACACACACACTCTACCCCGACCCCGGATGTGAGCTCCGGGCCCTTCCCGCCCCCCCACCCCCCGGCCCAGGTCCCCATGGAGTGAAAGGCGGTGCAGGTTCGAATCCCAGTCATGCCTCTCCAACGACCTGAGAATGTAGGCCAGTTACTGAACCCTCGGTGCCTCCCTCCCTCCTATTTGTCATGGGGGGCGGGGGAATAATAGAATCTGTTCTTAGGGCTGTGGGGAGTTAAGTAGGTTTCCACATTGAAATATAGTGAGCCACTTTTCGTGACCTGTCAAAGCACCCTTTGTTCCCGGGGTCCCCACAAACGCAGGTGAGGGGGACACCTTCACGGTGGAAGTGGACCCAGGACGGAGCCTGGTGTGAGGGCAGGTGGGGGGGCCCGGTGGGGGGGTGCAGGGGCCGGGGTGCAGGGGGGACTCACACTGCACGTTCAGCTGCACCTGGGCCTCGCGGGCTCGCACGTTGAAGCCATTGTAGCGAGCCGTCTGGCAGCGGTAGGTCCCGCTCATGTCGCGGCTCACGCGCTCCAGCCTCAGTTTCCCATCCGGAGTCTCCTCCAGGGGCAGCCCCGAGGGCAGCAGGACGGCCTCCTTGTCCACGCGGGACCAGAGCACGGGCGGCCGAGGCTTGCCCCGCACCTCGCACTGCAGCTCCGCCGGCGAGCCCTCGCGGACGGTCACCACCGCGCGGCCCTTGGGCACGCTGATGGTGGGGGGCACTGATGGAGGGAGGGGGAGGGGAGGGTCAGCAGGGGCATCAGAGCTCCCTGACCTCCGCCCTGGACACCTGCCTGCCCCCCCTCCAGGTGCAAGCTTCTCTCCTCCATCCCAGGCTCCCCCAAAGTCTCTGGAAATTACCAAAGCACAGCTGACCTTCCCAAGGCCTCTCAGCTTTCTGGGCGTCCATCCCAATTCACCGAGGGCCCGGAAGTGAGCCTCAGCACCACCACACCCTTTCTACTAAGCCCTCCTCTTCTGGCCTCCCTCTCTTACCCCCCTGGCCCCGGACAGTCAGAGTCTTCATCTTTCCCTGACTGGAATCTTACTCACCACAGAGGGCTAGAGTACCCCAACATCCTTGCCCTTTCCAAAGTCACAGGATGCTTGGTTGGTGTTTGGCAGAGTGTACACACCATCTCCCAGTGTGCCTATGACTAAACTCAGACCGGTAGGGTAGGAGGGGCAAACCGGGGCTTCTGAAAACAAGAGACGGCCGGGCCCTGTGGCCCATGCCTACAATGCTAGCTACTCAGGAGGCTGAGATCTGAGGATCACGGTTTGAAGCCAGCCCAGCCAGAAAAGTCATGAGATTATCTACACACACACACACACACACATTCACACACAGAGGCTGTCAGGCACCTGTGGCTCATGTGTGTAATTAATCCTAGCTAGTTAGGAGGCTGAAATACAAGAACCACAATTCAGAGCCACAGAGCCAGCCTGGAAAGTCTATGAGACTCATCTCCAATGAACTACCAAAAAGCCAGAAGTGGAGCTGTGACTCAAGTGATAGGGGTCTAACCTTGGGTGAAAAAGCTAAGGGACAGCATCCATACCCTGAGTGCAAGCCCCGTGCCAATACAAAGAAACACAACAGCAACAATTAAAGACAGCAACAATTAAAAACAAGGCAGGCCGTGTCCCTGTCTCCTTCCAGCCAGGACGCAGGTCACTGGCTGCAGCCAAACCCTCATCGGAGCCCAGGTGGCATGTGCTAAGGAAGAAGGGACAGAATAGAACAGAAGCCAGGTGGAGCCTAGAGTCTGGAGGAGCTGGGGCAGAGCTGGTACTCTACGCCTAGCAAGAGGAGCAGGTGAAACCCATCCAGCTTGCTTAGCCCTGCCCCTCCTCGCCCCTCCCACCCCAACGCGCTCCCTTCTTTTTCTACAGCATGGAGGACAGAAGCCAAGACCTTCCACAATCTGGACAAGTGCTCTACCATCGAGCCCCACCTACAGCCCCTAAGCGGCTTACAACTCTCCGTTAGGCACGGCTGAATCTTGTGCAGCCCCACACATCGCCACGGAGGGGTTCCTGAAGACGCTCCCTGGGTCCCCTCCCCTCACTCCTCAAATTAAAATGCACTCAACTGACTTGCCATTAAGTATTACACATTTCACATTCAACAGGAAGTTTTTATTTGTAAATAATCCTACAAGGCAGCTAGGATCCAGCTAGCTGGTTGGCATAATTTATAACCCATAAACATGTATACGTTTATTGGCTTTCATTCTTCTGTTTTCTCTGCTCTTTTGGAATCAGTTCAGTCTTTTTTTTTTTTGGTCTAAATCATTTCCAGGGGCTCTTAGAAAGCTTCCTTGCCCGCATCTGACCTCTGAACTAAACAAACTAAATGCAGAAACAGCCCTGGGTCCCATCCCTATCCTCCTGATCACCCCAACTTTCCAGGCCCCCCTGCCCCAGGCTAGAGAGTGGCCTTTCTCCCTCAGGCTCCAGTGCCCTCAGCTCTCTGCAAACAAGACCCTCAGCCTCTGCTCCCCACCCTTAGCCTCAGGGCCCCCCCTACCCCCTTCTCAAATGTCCCAGCTTCAGGATTAAGTTTACATCTAGCTGGGTGCTGGTGGCTCACACCTATTATCCTAGCTACTCAGGAGGCTGAGATCAGAGGATCATGGTTCAAAGCAGGAAAAATTCATGAGACACTTATCTCCAGTAAACCACCAGAAAACCAGAAGTGGTGCTGTGGCTCAAGTGGTAGAGCGCTAGCCTTGAGCTGAAGAGCTGAGCGACAGTGCCTAGGCCCAGAGTTCAGGCCCCACAACACACACACACACACAGACACACAGACACACACACACACACACACACACACTTTACATCTAAAAGGACCGCCCCCCTATTCTTTCTGCCTATTGCATCCCTTCCTGGATTGTCCCCACCTGACAAATCCCATCCCCCCCACAAGTCCTCTTTCACTTGCAGTACTCCCTTTTTAGTGACCCCAGGATGCTCTGTGGACCCCTTGGGACTCTCCCTGCCACATTTCTGGGATTTGCCTTGAGAGTTTCTGCCATGCCCCTCCCTCAACATGCCTAGCCCCACCCCCACCCCGCCCCACCCCAACCCCTGTGAGGGAGGGGCTGTGTCTCAGGCTGGATCCTCAGCAACTCCTCCAGGCTTGGGAACAGGCCATTTGCCTGGTGAATCTGTGGGGGCCTCCCCCACCCCACCCCTGTGCATTCCCAAGGCCCAGCTCAATCTAGCCCATCTCCTTCCAGAAGCTTCTCCTGGACTCTGCAGCTTTACTGGACGTCACTTTGTCTAGAGTCAGGGTAGAGGGGTCTCTGAGACCCCTTGGTCCCATCTGTCACAGCGAATGAAGCCCAGGCCCCAGAGTGGAAGGGCCAAAGGGGAACCTGCTCCATAACTAAAGTCCTGGGCCAGCTGGCCACGCCAGCCGCTCCTCAGCTCAGGGTCTGGGGCTAGAGGCAAGATCCTGTCCCAAAGACCCCCTCTCCCTCCGGTCTGCTAAGCGTCTCATGCTTTTGGAACCCATTTCATCATCTGTAAAATGAGAAGACAAACTACTACCGCACAGGGAGGGAATCACAAAAGGGAAAGAGAAATACATAACATCATCAGGATCCATAGCAAAGACTCAGTACATACTAGCCTTCATCATTGCATCCTCATCTTCCTCTTCTTCTCCTTACTATTATCATTACTACCACCACCATCATCACCATCACCACCATCACCATCATCATACTACCACTACCATCATCATCATCACTACCACCACCACCACCACCACCACCACCATCATCACTACCACCACCACTACCACCACCACCACCATCACCATCATCACTACCACTACCACCATCACCATCACCATCATCACTACCACTACCACCACCATCACCATCATGATCATCACTACCACTACCATCATCATCCCTACCACTACCACCACCACCACCATCACCACCACCATCATCACTACCACCATCACCACCACCACTACCACCACCACCACCATCACCATCATCACTACCACTACCATCATCATCACTACCACCACCACCATCATCACTACCACTACCATCATATCACTACCACCACCACCATCACCACCATCACTATCACTACCATCATCGTCACTACCACCACCACCACCACCATCACCATCATCATCAGAACAAAGATTTGAATCCTAGCCTGGCCTGGTCTGTGCTGAGTGCAGCCCGCCCTGTGTTGGAGTCCTAACCCTCACTCCCTCAGGATGTGACGGTGTGGGGAGGAGCGGTGAGGGTTGAACAACGTCACTGAGACGCCCCTAGCCCAGTGTGACCTGTCTCCTTCTGAGGGGAAACCAGGACACAGAATGCACACACACAAAAAGACCAAGTGAAGACAGGGAGACGATGCCCATCTACCAGAGAGGCCTCTGAAGACACCGCCCCTGTACCACACAGCACTTTGACCTTGACCTTAGATTCCCAGCCCCCAGAACTGAGACAAAACAGAGGCACCCAGTCTCTGGGTGCCTTGGCTAACGTACCTAGACAAAGAGGCTGTGTCTCCTGACTCCAGGTCCCTCTGTAAGTCCAACTCACTCCATTCTCCCCAGCCACTTTCCTTCCTTCGAGTCTCCAGTGGCTGAGGTACTTTCCTGCCTCAGTGCCTTTGCACATGCAGATTTCCTGCTCTCCTTTGCCTGATCAAAATCATGCCCCTCCCTCAGAGGCCAGATCATTCAATCTCAGGAAATTCTTTCTAGATTCTCGCAGATCCTAGTTCACAATGATGGATCTATTTGTTTGCTTTTTTTCCCCTAGCCGGGCATGTCACAGCGTTAACACGTGTGTGCATATGAACAAACAGGGCCCTCCCTCAGCCCCTCAGGCCGCCGGCTTCCCTTTCTCAAGCTGCTGGCCCTCTCCAGCTCCCCTCCCCCACCGTGTCCCCGATGTGCCCCTCCAGCCACCCACCTGTCTCTGAAGAGATGTTGACCTCGACGCTGAGGTCGGGCACAGGTGACCCGGGGAAGGAAGCCATGCACAGGTAGGTGCCATAGTCACTGAAGTGCAGGTCGATGAGCTCCAGGCTGCTGGTGACGGCGGGCAGCTCAGGGTCATTCCGGGTCACCAGCAGCCGCTTGGACATGCGCGCCGGCTTGCCGTTCTTGAACCACTGGTAGCTGACTTTCTCTTGGGGTACGGCGTCCACGTGGCAGGACAGCTTCAGGTCCTGGCCCAGTTGGATGTTCTCGCTCTCTTTGATCACATCGGGGGTGATTTGGAACGTGGCATTCCTCATGGCTACAAGGGAAAGGGAGCCGGGGTTAACAGCACAAGGGGTCCTAGCCCAGCATGGGTGGCTCACGCCTGCAATCCTAGCCACTCAGGAGGCTGAGATCTAAGGATCGCAGTTCAAAGCCAGCCTGGGAAGGAAGAGCCCAGGGAAGGAAAGTCTTTGAGACTCTTATTTCCAATCAACCATCAAAAATAAAAGCCAGAAGTGGAACTGTGGCTCAAAGTGGTAGAGCACTATCCTTGAGCACCAAAGCTCAAAGACAGCACCCAGGTCCTGAGTTCAAGCCTCACAACTGACATTCCAAAAAACAAAAACAAGGAGTCTGTGGCCCAGCCTAACCCTGCTTCTTCCCCTCAAACTGGCCATCTGCAAGTTAGATGGGTTTGGGGTAGGTAAGGGGGGTGTCTAGGACATACCCTCATGAGAGACCATATGCATGCTTGCTCACATATGTTTGAAAGGATGGACATGGTGGTCCACATCTGTAATCCCAGCACTTGAGCGTCTAAGACAGGAGAATTGAGAGTTCCAAGCTAGCCTGGACTACTCAGGAAGACTGTCTCAAAAAAAAAAAAATCTGTCTGAAGTAATAAGACAAAAGAGTTCTTCACATGAGGACACTGATGAGAACGCTAATGAGAACACTGGTAGATGAGCCACAGAAGCCACAGACCAGGACAGGGCTGGGCAAAAGCCAGCTGCAGTCACGCTGAAGATGGACTCCACGGACTGACCTGCTCTGAGGCAGCTTTTCAAGGCCAGGTAGAAACGAGTGGAGAAGAAACATCTTCCCTGATGGGAAACACACCATTGAAGGCCCATGGGGGTCCCCAAACATGGCCACCATCTTGTGACCTTATTTCTTAGCCTAAGGAAATGTCAGCAAGGGCTGGCTTCCAGGAGAAGAGTCTGGAGATGGACAGGTCCATGAAAGAAGATGGGCATCAGCTATGGTATTTTATGTTCAAGGCTAAAGATCTTGCGAACAATCCTAGAGCCTGGTCTAAAAACCAGCCACACAGCTGAAGCAGCACGAGGAGAGGAATTCAGAATTTCTTCCTTGAGACTGAGTAGCAAAATGAAGATCATAACTAAGGAGAGAGTTTGGACTTTTGTGGACCTTGTTCCAAGTTTTATATGGCTTCCCACTTAGTAATGACCTTTCTAGTTCCTGGCACGCTTTGCTACATAAGAGTTACATAGAAGATAGGCAGCACTGTGTGTTATTTTCGATTAAACTCGGCTAATCTTGTAGCTAGGAAGAAAGCCAGGACATTTCTCTTGAAGCCTATGGTATTCCACGTTTTTGCTGCCTTCGTTTCCCAATCTAACAAAACAAAAAGTAATCAAAGTTGGGAGCCAGTGCCTCATGCCTGTAATCCTAGCTACTTAGGAGGCTGAGATCTGAGCACTGAAGTTCAAAGCCATCCAGGTCAGAAAGTCTTTTCTCTGAGATTCTTATCTCCAATAAAGCCAGAAGCAGAGCCGTAGCTCAAGTGGTAAAGTGCTGAGCAAAAGAAGCTCAAGGACAGTGCCCAGATCCTGAGCTCAAGCCCCAGTAATCAGTATCAGTCCTTCCTACATTTGCATTGCTGAGGTTGTTACTTGGAAATGTAAACTCTTAAACAAAGATTTCTATTTGAGTCCTCTGCCTCCTGCTGACAGGTGGCAGAATTGCAGGGAAATCAACATTGGTATCACACTCATCTACCAGGGGAAGGGTAGCTGGGTCTGGCTTTGTTCACAGGTAGTCCCTGGAGGGCCGGGACCCCGCCTCCCTCACAACCGCCCTCCTCCCCGGCCTGCAGTGGTCACATACATCGCACCAGCAGGTTGACGGTCTTCTTGGCGGGGTTGCCCACATTGTTGGTGGCTGTGCAGTTGTAGTAGCCAGAGTCCCGGGCTTGCACCGAAGGGATGCTGAGGGTGCCACCCTGGGCCAGAGCACCCAGGGGCAGTGGGCCGGGCCCATGAGACCACTGCAGCTGGGGCAGGGGGTCTCCGCCTGTCAGCAGACACTGGACTGTCACGTTCTCCCCGGGGTTCACCACCAGAGTTTCGTTCACGGACAGCTTCAGGGCTGGCGGTGCTAAGAGGACAAGGAGGCTGGGTCTTAGGGGTGTGGGGGGGCTGGATGAGGGGGAGAGGGGGCTAGGAAGCCTTCCCAGGAAGGGGGGGATGTGACAGGAGCAGTCAGAGGGAAGGAGGGGCTGACGCCAGCGTGGAGCACGGTCACCAGGGAGGAAGCTGGCCACCGTGGGCAGGGGGCGTGGGGGGAAGCAGTGTACCCGTGGCGTTGGTGAGCCGGAAGGTGACGGCCCTGTCTGGGATGCCGCACACGTTGCGCACCGACACCTGGCAGGTGTAGCTGGCATAGTCCTGGGGCCGCAGGTTTTTCAACTTCAGGACCTTGGTCTCACCCTGGGCCACAACAGCAATGGCGTAAGGGCCCCCACCCCCAACCCCTGCCACCAGTCACCCCGCACTGCAGGCCAAAGCCAATTCCTATTCAAATCCCACCTTCCCAACACCATCTTCACCTGCATGTCACCCCCAAGGACCCTGTGTGCCCCGGGCACAACCTCCACAGGCAGAACCTCTGTGAGCCTGAGGCTGCCCTGGTGCATGCTGGTCGGGACTAGGCCTCAGTTTCCCCACTCTGGGAAACAGAGGAGAAGGGAAGGGAGGAAACTCACAATCACAGAGCAGGCCCACAAGCCTCATGTGAGCCTCTGAAAGCCATCCTCAAAGGCCTCCCTGCCTCCAACTCCCGATTCTCAGGAGGTCCCAGCCTCAGCCAGCCAGCGGCTGCCCCCGGGCGCCCCACTCCCGAAGGCCACGCAGCTTCCTGACTTCTCTCTGCTTGGGTTTTTCATCCGCAGGTGTCTGATACAGAGCCTCTCCCCCCTGGGATGCAGGAGGGCCGTGTGTGGTGGGGGGCGGGTAAGCTAGCTGCCAGTCCTGACCTGGGTGTAGAGCGGTTCGTAGATGTCCACGCCGTTGTCCTGGCTGTGGGACAGCGTGTCGGAGCCTCGCTTCCAGATGAAGCGGGCGGGTGGGTTGGAGTTGACCGTGCAGCGCAGGAACACCGTCTTCTCCTGGTAGAAGTTGCCTCGCACGTCGCTCACGGTCTGGTGCACGGTCAGCACGGGCTCGTCCAGGTCTGCGAGGGCACAGGATGGGATCAGCCCTGAGGCGGGGGCTCCGGCCCCTGGAAGCTTCCCCCCCCCTCCTTTACCACCCCCCTGCCAGACTGCCACTCCGCCACATGCTCCCCTGCCCCTGCAGGCTTGCGCAAGCGTCAGGCTGAGGAGAACTGGACTCCCCCACGGGGGCCTCCCCAGGCCCCTCCGCTGGGAGCTGCACCCACGGGGGGCGTGGGGACGTCTAGCTTTATAATCACGTCCTCCGACGTGCAGAGATTGAAGCAGACTGGAAATCAGGAAAGAAAAGCCTGGTTCCATTCCCCCTTTGGCTATGACTGTAGTGTGACTGGCCTAAGTCCCTTCTCCCGCCGGGCCTCAGTATCCCCACTGGCCAGTTAGACTCGACAGACAGCTTCCAGCCCTGCGTATACAATAGACTCACACGCGCGCACGAGGACTTTCCCTGTCTCTTTCCCTTTTCTTTGCTTCATCTTTTTTTTTTTCTTTTGCTTGTATCAATGCTGGGGCTTGAACTCAGGACCTCACACTCCTTGCTTAGCTTATTCTCACCCAAGGCTACCACTTTCAGCTTCTTGCTGGCTAATTGGAGATAGGAGTCTCACAGACTTTCCTGCCCAAGCTGGCTTCAAACCATGATCCTCAGCTCTCAGCCTCCAGAGTAGCTAGGATGATGGGGTGAGCCAGCAACCTATCGGCTCATGCCTATAATCCTAGCTACTGTAACCCCAGTGATAGAGCTTGAGCCTTGAGCACAAAAGCTCAGGGACAGTCCCCAGGCCTAAGTCACAGCCAGCCCTCTCTCCCTCCTCCCCTCCCCCACCGGGGCTGGGTGAGTGCTGGGGTGTGGGGATCCCGGGCAATGGACTCACACTGCACGTCCACGCGGATGGACTTGATGGCTGGCACCCCCACGCCGTTCTCTGCCTTGCAGTAGTAGCGGCCGCCCTGCGTGCGCGCGATGCGCTCGATGCGCAGCGTCTCGTTGAACACCGACGTCTCCTGGAACTTGTCAGAGGCGCTGCCCGCCGTCTTGGTCCACCGCACCTGGGTGGGAAGGGCGGGGCCGGTCAGACCCCCGAGCAGGTGGGAAGAGGGGGGCCGAGTCCCCTGCTGTGGTGTTCCCAGTGTCTCTCCATGGGAGAACACGGGGAAGGGGGCAGATCCAGGCCTGATCCAGGCAGACAGCCGAGTGCACCACGGGGCAGGGAAAGCCTGGACTTGGGAGGAGACTCTAAGTCAGGGCCACAGCGCTCCCGATCTGAAAGCCAGTGGGTGGCCTGCCTTGATTTGCCCCATCATGGAAATGGGAAGTAGTACCCCCTTCCTTTCTCCTTTCTAGTCTGATCCGATGAGCAGAAACTTAGGACTGTGCGTTTTACTCCCTAGCTTAGATGGGAAGCTAGTCTCAAAGATGGCTCCAGGATTTTGCACCCTGCCTCATCCCCTCCAGTCCATACTAAGTGAGGGTCCGTGTGACCAAGGAGTGACGCGATGAATGACACTCGCAAGCTAGATGGTGACAGGCTCGTTTCCGTCTCGGTCAGACTCCTGAAGAAGGCCAGCTCTTCTTGTCCTAAGCAGTGCAATGGAGGAGAGCCTGGGGAGGGACAGAGCCGCAGGCCCACGGCCATGAGTTTGCTAAGAAATGGCTTCTTCAGCCTCAGTCATCTTCAAATGCCTGCGGCAACCTGGCTGACACAGCGATCGATGGGAGCCTCTTACGACGCTGAGCTGCGTCTGTTTTCCTGCTCACAGGTACCGTGAGACCAGACTGTTGGTGGGTTCTTCTTTCTCCTCCCTCTCTTCCTCTTCCTCCTCCTCTTCCTCTTCTTTTTTGGTGTAGGTTCAGTGGCTTGAACTCAGGACCTGTACCGTGTCCCTGAGCTTTTTTTGCTCAAAGCCAGCAACGGTGCCGTTTGAGCCACAGCTCCACTTCTCTCATTTTTGTGGAAAACTGGAGATACAAATCTCATGGAATTTCCTGCCTGTGCTGGCTTGGAACCGCAATTCTTCAGCTCTCAGCTCCTAAGTCGCTAGGATTACAGACGTGAGCCACTAGCACCTGGGTAAGTGCTTGTGGTTTGAAGCCCCTGAAGTTTCAGCATATTCATTAGACAACAATAACTAAGTCCTTAGGAGGCTTAAAAAGTATGATGCTGGCATACACTTAGTCATTTGGCAATTTTTTAAAATTCTTAATTTTGCCTATGAAGGCAGAAAAGATATCAGCAGTTATGTGAGCTGCCAAAGATTTTTAAAAAACAAAACAACAACAACAAAACAGCTGATCAGTTTCCAGATACTTAATTGGTCTGTGGAGTACTGGGAGCTACTATGAAAGCTTCAGTTTGAATTCGGGGACTGGTTAGGAGGAGACAAGCAAGGGTCAGAGCCACGCACAGATGGGCCCACTGTCCACAGAGCTTGTGCAGTGAGGAAGACAGCTCTCCATTCCCACTCACCCCAGCGCCATGCAGTTTCCAAAACTTGAAGGAGAGAAGTGATTTCAGGAAATCTAGACTTAGACAGGTGGCCAATGCCTATAATCCTAGCTACTGAGGAGGCGGTGATCTGAGGATCACACTTCAAAGCCAGCCCAGGCAGGAAAATCTCTGAGAGTCTTCTTTCCAAATACCCAGCAGAAAAGATGGGAGTGGAGCTGTGGCTTAAGTGTTAGAACACTAGCCTAGAGCACAGGCCCCGAGTTCAAGCCCTAGGACCAGTACAAAAAAAAAATTCTTTTGTTCTTGCTGTTTTATAGTTTTGCCATCATTTTTTTTTTGTCAGTTGTGGGGCTTGAACTCAGGCCTAGGCACTGTCCCTCAGCTTTTCAGCGCAAGGCGAGCACTCTACCACTTGAGCCACAGCACCACTTCTAGTTTTCTGAGTGGTTTATTGGAGATAAGAGTCTCATGGACTTTCCTGCCCAGGGCTGGCTTTGAACCGTGATCCTCAGATCTCAGCCTCCTGAGTAGCTGGGATTACCGGCAGGAGCCACCAGCGCTCAGCTCTAGGTGGGTTTTATTTATGTACCTCTTTATCATCATTTTTGAGCAGCTACCTTTCTCCAGTTTTGCAAAATGCTTGGCCTCTGTCTCTTTAAATATTGCCTCCTCTGTTTTCTCTTCTCTCCTTCAGCTTCTCAGCCTATCCTTCAGATTGCAGCTTCTTTTCGGTTCTAGGGACTGAATGAATTCAGGGTCTTACACTTGCTAGGATACACCCTGCCTCGTGAACCACACATCCTCCCAGCTCTTTTGCTTTTACTTTTGTTTTCCAGATCATGTCTCACTAACTTTTGCCTGGGCTGGCCTCAAATGGCAATCCTCTTATTTTTGCCTCCAAAGTAGCTTGGACTACACGTATGCATGCACCAGAATTCCCAGTCTCTTACTCTTTTTCAGACTCATGATGGTTAATTCCCTCAGCTCTATCATCCACTTTACTCATTCTCCCTCTAGGAGTCTGAAACCGTTTTTTTTTCCTCTTCAAAGACTATATCACTTTTATTTCTAAAATTTCCATTTTTCCCCCTCCATCAGGTTTTGCAATCTCTGTCTTAGGTATTGTATATCTCCCATGATCTCTTCAAAAGTGTAAGCATCTCTGTTCGGAAGATCTCTTTGGAGTTCTCTGTTTTCTAGAACTCAGACATGAATTGTTCAGCGTGTCCGGGCTGTGGACAGGCTCTCCCGGCATAGAACTAACGGCTGTTCCAGGGAAACAGAACTACAAAGACCCGGGCCTTGCAGCGACCTCGCCTTCTCTTCAGATGCCCAGAACCTGCAGGGCAGAGCAGCCCTCGGATCAGCAGAGCAGGTTGCCCAAGTCTGGAACACACAGCTGCCCCGGGCCTGCCTGCAGCGGCCCTGAGCTCCCTGGGCCCGAGACCCCCGAGGGAAGAGGGTCTTCATCTCAGTTGGTTTGCTGGCTTTCCAGATAAATCCTTTTCCTCATCCCACCTTGTCCACAATCACTGGCCTTTTCAAGGTGCATTGGTGAGCGTGAACACATGGTTTCACCATCCCTGTGGACTTCCTTTCTGACACACTTATTTCCTCTTCCTGCTCCTTCTCCTCTTCCTCCATTTTCTCCTCCAGCCCTCTCCCACCGAGGCCACGATCCCAATCCTTTTGCATTTATTTATCTATTATTGTTTACTTATTTTTGCCTGTCCTGGCGCTTGAACTCAGGACCTGGGCTCTGTCCCTGAGCTTTTTTGTGCTCAGGACTAGCAGTCTACCACTTGAGCCACAGCGCCACTTCCAGCTTTTTTTCTGAGTAGTTTATTGAGGATTAGAGTCTCACAGGCTTTCCTGCATTGGTTGGCTTCGAACCTCGATCCTCAGGTCTCAGCCTCCTGAGTAGCTAGGATGACAGGCGTGAGCCGCCCGCACCCGGTTTATTCTGCTTTTGAGACCGTGTGTAGCTAATGTTGCCTCTCTCTGCTAGCCTCAAACTTGCAATCCTCCCTCCTCCACCTCCTGAGTGGCAGGGATTCCAGGAACACCATGTGTACTCAGTCCTCCATCCTGACCGCAGTGTGAACATGAGCGTCGGCTCTTGCTCCTGTCCTGGGCCGGTTGCTCTGTGGGAACAGAAGCTGCAACCTCAAACTCAGGAATGGTTGCTGGCTTTGGGACGTGACAGTACTCAGCCTACGCCGGCTGTCCTGCAGCGAGCAGAAGGCACGTCAGGCTGGACGGAGGACGGAGGTCTGCAACTCCATGGTAGGAGCAGATGGGAGCTGGGAACTAATGGGGAGCACTGGGGTTGCTCAGCAGGGGAGCGGTGTGCTCTGGTGGGTTTGGGGGGTGATCACTCCATTAGCAGAGTGTCGGGATGGACCAGACGGGGAGCAAGTGCAGTCCAAGAGCTCGGGGTGGAGTCCGCCGCACTGAGCCGAGGCCTGAAACTGAAGTCCTGACTGAGGAGGACAGTGAAGGACAGAGAGGAGAAGGTTCAAACAAGCCACACAGGACAAAAGCCTCAGAGCCTGGCTAGGTGTGGCGAGGAGAAGAGGCAGACTCAAACAGGACCCTAGGTGTTTGCGCCTCCAGAATAGCACTAGGCTGGACACAGTGTCTGCTACCTGTAATCCTAGCTACTTGGGAAATAGAGATCAGGAGGATTGCGGTCTGAGGCCAGCCCAGACTAAAATGTAGTGAGACCCTATCTCAACAAAACAATGAGGGATAGTGGCTCATGCCTGTCATCCCACCTCCGCAGGAGGTCTAAGTAGGAAGCTAAGGGCCTGAGGTTGGCACTGGTAGAAACAGAGACTGTATTGAAAGAACAAAGCAAGCGTGTGCTGGGGACATGGTTCAAGTGGCAGAGTGCCCATGTGGCAAGTGCTAGACACTTGGGTACTACCAAACAAGAACAACAAAAACCACTGGTGAAAATAGAAAAAAACAAGTGCAGGGGCATCCTGAGGACACACACAGCTGACACAGACAGCCACACATCAGCGCTGTGCGGGGTGAGCAGGCAGCAAGCCTGTCCGGCGGGGCTGTGTGTCTGCCCACTGCCTTCCCCGCTCCCACCATTGTCCAGACCAAAAAAAAAAAAAAGACTGCATTTCAATGTCGCTCCCAGCATCCAATTGGCACACCTGTCCTACTGCTGGTAAAGGTCAGGCTGCTGGCCGATCGCCAGGCCCCTCCGTCCGCACCTCCTCCCCCGGGCAGCAGCTATACGCGGCCCCCACTCCTGCCTGCCCTGGGCACCCCATCGGTCACAAAACTCACTGAGCGTTTCCACAAACTTGCCTTCTGCTCCCGTCTGATTGCTTTGGGTCTTTGAACCTCCAGAGCGTGCAACTTGCTGGCCGGGAGCCTCGGAAGTGGAGATCGCTATGCCGTGCATCTCTCTGAGCCTCTAGCCCAAACATGGATGCCCTAGGATCCAGGGTGAGGGACTCCGGTTCTAGATTCCGATCTTGCTCCCCCTCTCATGAGAACTGTGTGGCCTTGGGAGTTTGCCCTACCTCTCTGAGCCTCCCTTTTCCCAGCTGCAAAATGGGACCATGAGAGGCTCCTGGGAGAACGCAGTGCCTCAGTGCAGCGTGCACGGTGCCCGCTGCTGGCCGGCGGGCATGGTTCGGGGCGGGGCGCAGGCTCACCTGCGGGCGGGGGTGGCCGGTGAGCAGGCACTGTAGCGCCAGCGTGTCGCCCTCTCGGATCGTGTACACGCGCTCGCTGATGTTGTCTTCTTTCACCACGCACGCCTGGCCCGCGTGCACAATCTGGGCCTGGGCGGGAGCTGGCGAGAGAGGGCAGCGGGGGCTTAGGGAAGCCCGGGGAGAGGCCCGGCCCCCACCCCCACCCCGCACCCCCACAGCCTTCCCTCGGAGCCAGGGCCGCAGACCCAGGGGCCCGGAGCCCCGGGAAGAGATCTGAGCTCCTGGGTGCGCTGGTGGGTGAGGGGTTACACCCACCCCTCCATCAGGGGCCTTGTCTGGACCGCTCCCGGCCCTGGCTGCCCCTGGGGTCCCCCCACACCCCCAAGATGGCAGATACACCAGGGACAGCCTCACCCAATGGAACAGCCCTAACCAGAGGTCCCCTGGTGCACGTGTACACAGGTGTCCACACGCATGCGTGTGCACGCGCGCGCGCGCACACACACACACACACACACACACACACACGTGCGCACCCGCGGCCGGCTCCCGCTCCAGGGTGCCCCCTGGGCACAGGTCAGGGCTAAGTTCCCTCAGTTGTTCCATTTTCCCTAGGACCACCCCCCACATCCCAAGCTCTGCTTCTAGAAAGTTCAGTGTGACACCTGCCCCCCTCCCCCCAGCCCAGCTGTCTCTCCAGGCCTGATTTTTTTTTTTACTCCTTCTGCTGCTGCTTCCCAGGGACCGGAGGGCTCCTGAGATGGTGCTTCCCCCTCCCCAGGCCCGTCACAGCCCCCAGGGTGGGAGAGACCAGGCCTGGGCCCAGGGGCCCAGGAGAGGAACAAAAAAGAGGTCACAGCCTCTCTGTGTGTGCCTCACCCCATCCTAGCACCCGTGCCCGGGGCACTGGGGGGACTGGGGAGGCCCCCCTAAAGAGGCACAGAGAGGTTAAGGCCAAACTGCACAAAGCAGCCACTTCCTCCAGGAAGCCCTCCAGGACTGGCGGGCGGTGCCCTCCCGTACTGGGTCAGTGTCCATCACCGCCCCAGCGCAGAAACAAAGCAGGCGCGGATTCCAGGCCAAGTACCAACATATAGGGAAGGAAGGAGGGAGAGGGGAGGGGGCGGGAGGGGGAGCCCGGGGGACAGGCAGCCACTGAGCATGGCTCAGACCCAGTTTAACCACACAAATCCACACAGAGGCAGATCCCTGAAAACAAGGGCCGCGGCTGCCCTGGGATGGGCAGCTGTCCTGCCTGCCTGCCACCGGGAGATGGACCTGGGCCAGCAGGCAGGAGGCGAGCTGTGTGGCTTTGGGCCACTGCAGGCACCTCTCTGATCGCGTTTCCTTGCCTTGCTGGCCTCTGAGGTCTGTCTGTGAGTGGTGGGATGGGTGTGAGGCCCACCGCAGGCTCGAGGGGCTGAGCCCCGCGCTGGGCCTCTGCCTTGAACACCCACAACCCTCTCCAGGCAGGGCAGAGAGATAGGCATCTGTGACCAAGAGCCCGAAACAACCCGCCAGGAAACGCAGGGCGTGCTGGACGCTGATAAGACGCGAGGCCGTGCACGGGGGTGCCAGAGGCCTGTGAACACAGAGGACGCGGCGTGACCCCAGTGCAAGGTAAGCCGCCGTGGACACCGTGGCTCAGTGTCCTGACAGCCACGCTGACTGATAAGGAATATGGAAACGGAGCTGGGGAGCTGTCCTGTCTCTGGCCACAGCCAGGGACTCGGGAGCCCGGCCCTAACTAGAGATGAGGTCATCACCGCGGGTGACATCCGTGGGTGAGATCATCCCTCCCTCCCGTGGTGACATTCAACTCTAGAATGGCAGAGCAGAGGCGGCTGTCCCTAGGATGGCAGGGTCCCATGCCTGGAGGTGAACTGCACAGAAATGAGTTCTTACGACAAACACACAAAAGCAGCTTCCTACTCTAAATGACCTCCTATGAGTGGCTAGCTAACACCTGAGACCCAGAAAGAACACATAGAGCCATGAGGGTCGGGCATGGTAGAGCCTACCTATAATCCCTACTTCTCAGGAGGCAGAAGTAGGAGGATCAGGGTCTGTGGCCAACTCTAGGCAAAGTTCGTGAGATAGTCTATCTACAAAGAAAGCAGAAAGGCCTAAGGGTGGATGGGGTTCTTGAAAGCCGGGACACTGCAGAATTCTTGCCTAGCAAGCGCAAGGTTCTGAGTTCAAACACACTATCTACCCTTTCAAAAGAAAGATGAGCATTCACAAGAACCTATCTGTATCCTTTATGCAAAAAATAATAATAATAATAATGCCAGTCCTGGGACTTGAACTCAGGGCCTGAGCTTTATGTGTACAAGGCTGGTGCTCTACCAACTCGAGCCACAGTTCCACTTCTACCTTTTTTGGCAATTCATTGGAAGTAAGAGTCTCACAGACTTTCCTGCCCAGGCTGGCTTAGAACCATGATCCTCTGAGTAGCTGGGATTACAGGCGTGAGCCGTGGCACCCGGAGGAGAACACATCTGAATCATTACACAGTAGATTATCACGTGTCAGCGAAGAAAATGAACTATGGAGAGTCTGACACTGATGAAGCTCACTGGCATCAGTTGACAGCGCGCAGACACAAAAGCAAACATAATAAATGCATTTATCCTCCATTCCAACGTGGGAAACCATCCTGTGGGCAGCAGAGTCTTGGGAAGGGCAGGCGCGGAGCTTACTGGGAAAAGACGGCGGCCACACGTCTCCCTCTGAGCACTGGTTACATGGTGGATGTGTGACAAAACGCGCTAGCCATTGGCTGAAGATGTCCCCAGGTTGGTAATGGTTTAAGGATGGAATGTTCCCTTCCCCAAAGGCGCATGTGTTGAATGCCTGGTGCCGGCTGGTGGCGCTAGCGAGAGGTGACGGGGTGTGGAAGTTGCTGACTTGATCAATTAGCTCCCGGATGAGCTCAAAGCTGCAGGGGCTACTGGAAAAGGCTTTGTGGCTCTTAACAGCGGAAACCCAGAAGCAACCTGTCAAGAGTAGCAGAAAGTAAGGGTTGGGTGGGTCCCACCTGTAATCCCAGCTATACAGAATGGGAAGGTGGGAGGCCACAGACAGAGGCAGGCTGGAGCCTCCAAGCAGAATTAGGTCACGAGGGTGTGGCTGGCAGGGGTTGGCTTTGTACCAGCAGCACACGCACGCACGGCGTGCACATGCACGTGCAAACACACACACACACACACACAAAGTTAGTTGTCTAAGGACACCCTGTGGCCTGGAGTCCGCCTCTATCCCAGCTCTTGAGTACCTGGCACCGGGCCTCAGATTGCTGGGCCTCCAGACCCGGCCTCCCCAGCGCTGGCTGGACCCTCGGCGCGTCCTCACAAGCCATCCGTCTGTGGTGGCACTCGTAGCCTCCTGGCGCCTGGTCCGCACGTGTTTATCGATCCTTTTATGCATGTAATGCACATGGACACTTAATAATTTAGCGGAGTTAACAGTGCTGAAATATTAACAGGCTTTTCTCTTTTAATTAGCTGCTCCGAGAATGGCGGCCAGGGGCTGGGGAAGAAGTTTTCCCCGGGCAGGTGCTGTTGGCCAACCAGCTCTGCCTTGGCCTCCTTCAGCCAGGAGTGAAACTCCTACGGCTCATGACCACTGCGCCCGGGCCTGGTAGGGAAAGGACGATTGTCCTGTACCCTCTGCCCTTCCCTGGCATCCCCAGAGCTCAAGGAAGGTCCTGAGGGCCAAACCCCTGAGGCCTGAGGAAGGCCCCAGACAGGTCGGCTTTAGGAGGAGCAGCAGCGGATTCCAGCCCTTCTCTAGTCATTCCCTCCCAAGCCCAAGTTCTTTCCCTCCCCATCCCCTCTCTCCCCTCCCGCATCCCACGCCGTCAGAGCACACGCACAGCCACGCGTGCCACGGAGCACAGATTCATTCTGCAGCACCACCTACGTGATGTCCACATCAAGACACCCACCTTGCTCCGGAGAGCGGCAGCCACAGACTGAGATCGAGAGGATCACGGTTCAGAGCCAGCCCGGATAGAACAGTCCATCAGACTTCATTTCCAAAATAAGAAGCCAAAAGCAAGGCTGGAGGTGTGTCTCAAAGGGTAAAAGTACCAGCTATGAGTGAGCAAAACCATGAGTTGGAGCCCCAGTACCAGCAAGTAAGTAAGTATGTAAGAAAATGAATGACTGGAGCTGGACTCACGTTTTCTAACCCGGAGCCCACAGCCCCAAGTGCTGCCATCCCTAGCAGCTACTGACAGTGCGGCCCCGGTCTTGGAACTGCGAGATTGGTGGCTTTGTGGAAGCCAGGAGCCCCAGAAAACTCTCGACCCCAAGTCCCAGTGAGACAAGGGAGTCACACGGCTCCATCTGCGCCCCAGGGTGCTGACACCCCCTCCAGTCTGAAGCCCAGGGCCCAGGCCCACACACGGGGGCGGCCGGAGCCAAGGCACTGGACTTGGGCTGAAATGAGAGAACGGGATAGCGGAAGGTGACAACCCTCCCCGCCTGCCAGTCCCGAGCCGAGGCTCCACGCCAGGTCTTCACTGAAGCCCATCTCCCCATGTAAAAAGAATGCCAAGCAATCTCAGGCCCCACGGGGTTGTCTAAGTGAGATGACATCTTGCAGCGCGCGGTGTAAACTGTAAAGTTCCGCACAGATCAGCTCTCGTTATGGTGAGGTGCAAAAAAAAAAAAAAAACCAAAGGGAAAAAAACAAAAACAAGAAGCGAAAACAAGAAACTCAAAAGCACGTCACTGTGCGTCTGTGAAACCCGGGCAGGGCTCAGGTGTGGTAGTGCACACCTGTAATCCCAGCTACTCCAGAGGTAAGAGTGCGAGGAGCCTGATCTGGAGCCAGCCTTGAACAAAAACGAGAGACCAAACCTAAAGATTACTGAGGCAAGAAAAAAACAACCAGGCCGGAAGCATGGTTTGAGGGCAAGGTTATTTGTTCTGCAAGCACAAGGTTCTGAGTTCAAACCCTAGCATAACTCCCCCCACCCCCACACTCGGGTGCGCGCGCGCATACACAAACACACACACACACATTCTATGTGGCTGGACTGGGCACACCAAATTCAACTTTCCACTAGCCCAAGCCCACAGTACAAAATGAGACCATAAAACAGCCATACTAGCTGCTCAGGAGGCCAAGATCTGAGGATCGTGGTTGGAGGTCTGCTCACTCAGGAAATCTGTGACTCTCTTTTCTCCAATGAACCAGCAAAACCGGCAGTGGCGCTGTGCCTCCAAAGGTAAAGAGACACTGCCCAGGCCCTGAGTTCAAGCCCCACCACGGACCGACCAGACAACAGAACCATTCTCTCTCCCATGGCCTACGAGGCGATCTCACTTTGGGGAGTCGGCTCCCCCAAGAAAATCATTTCGGTGAAGTCACAGATGGATGCGCGGCCACGCTCTTTCAAGGGACGGCGACCGGTGTCCAGCCAGAGGCCAGCAGTGGCCGGGACTGGACGGGTCGAAGCCGGAGGTGCTCGGAGCTCATTCAACTGGCAGGTCTGAGGGCTCGTCAATAGCCGGATGAAGCCAGCGGGAGGGAGGGGCGCGGCCGGCCTGGCTGCTGAATGACGGGCTGGGCGGGAGCTGAGGATGAATGAGGAG